GATATGGTATGGTATCTGGATATGGTATGGTGTGGTATCTGGATAGGGTATGGTGTGGTATCTGGGTATGGTATGGTGTGGTATGGTATGATATATGATATGGTATGGTATGACGGTAACAGACTTGCTACAAGTTGTTCCAACAACACTAATGTAGGTTGTTCGTAACAAGTTGGGAGCTTGTTGTCATTGACTTGTTATCAACGTGTTATCAACTTGTTGGAACAACTTGTTGCGAGTCTGTTGGCCTCACCAACCTTGTTACAAGATGATAACAACTTGTTCCAGACTTGTCAACAACTGGGAACAAGCAGTGCGAACACTGCATTGACAAGCTGGGAGATTCACCTTCGCTGCATGTTAAAACAATTGAAGGTGACAGCGTACATATTAAGAAGTCTTACCTAACCTAACTATTATTGTTTTAGCATCCACAATCTCAAATGACGAAATCCATGAAGATGTATTTCACGAAAACGATGAGTCCGGAGCACAAACGGTCTCGCCGTTTTCTACCCGTAGTTCCCTGCAGAATTCAATACGACGTGTTATGGTGGCGATGCCTGATGTGGAAGAGCCTTCAGCGCCCGTGGAACTGCCTGACCTGCCCGCAGGATGGGATGAAAGACAGGTGAACTAAGGGATTTTGAACTGTCTTTACCATTGTAGGTAGTGCTAACTAATAGGGAGTTTAAGATGCCGACAACGAGCAATGGGTATACGGAGTACGGTTGAAAGCTTGTTTTCGTATTGCTTTAACAGAGGCAGACAAAATTTACATATCCCCAGAGCATACTTTTCACCGTAGCGACCTTGGCTACAGCGCAAAAATCACAATCTTGTGTTGTAAAACAGAATCAAGAACATAGCACCGAAACTGACTACGCACGACTTGTTTTGTTTTCTTCTTCAAATTTTTTTTATATAATTTAATATTGTAAATATGTAGCGATGGGCTTTGATAAGCCCTAGATAAGCTTTGACGCTTTTGGAGCAATTGCATTTAATTTATTTAATAAAATATTGTTTATATAAAAAAATACCTACCAACGAAATCTTGAACTATTAGTTCAAAATGCTAATCTTAATCGTATATAGTCGAGTCATTTCAGTATCTGATCGAGTCAACAGCATCACTCGAGTCGAGTCGATGGCTATACGAATTGTATGATGAACAAAAAGGCCTTAAAAAATTCCCTACAAGTGGAAACATGCCTATCTGCATCGAGAATTGCTTTATATTTCTTCAAGCCCTTCCCAACCTATTCAACTACAATATTTTTGATGAATTTATCCTGAATTTGGAACCCCCTTGGATGCAATTTGTGGAAGTTTAGTTACCCCAGAGGATATCTTACTAACCCCTTTAGGATATCACTTTTTCCCTCTTGGATATCACTAAAACGCCTAATTTTTGCCAAACTATGCGAGCACGCGAGCACCGCTCGCAGGATATGTTAAACAGCTGCAGGAAATTCGTTTGAATGAGGATTTGTTATTGAAAATTTGAAGGAAACCTTAACACCCATGTCCCACTATTGGCGCAACAACATATGGTTGACAGACATTATTCCTTGAATTTAAAACCATGGTCAGCTAGAACACTATATGTTTATGCACATGCAGATTTAGCACAAAAATACTCCGTTGGTCTGCAGGAAATCTTTGTCTCCAGGTTGTGCTCCCAGGAAGAAAATTATTTTTTCCTGCCCTTGTTTCATGCTTGCTTTCTGTGCATTTAGGATGCGAATGGTAGAACATACTATATCAACCATCGAACCAGAACAACATCGTGGACAAGACCAGTCGAGGCAGAGTAAGTAGAAACTAGTTCACATTCCATTGTATTGAACGAAGATTCTCAAAATCGTGATAGTTCCCCATATACCTATAACACTGGCATCGCCTTATACACACATAAAAACGCACAAGTTGTAACAAACCTGCAGCAGACATGTAGCAATGCTGTTCCAACAACTTGTCAACAGGATGTGTTCGCACTGCTTGTTCCCAGCTTGTTGACAAGTTGTCCCCAGCTTGTTGACAACTTGCTACAAGGTTGTTGAACTCAACAGACTTGTTACAAGTTGTTCCAACAACTTGTTATCGTCCTGCAATTCAACAATTTGTCAACAAGTTGTGAGTGACAACCTTGTAGCAACTTGATAAAATAACAGCATTGTTACAACTTGTTGACAAGCTTGCTACAAGCCTGTTGCGAACACATCTTGTTGACAAGTTGTGAGATTTTTATGTGTATACACGACTACAGGCGTAAAAATCTCACATCTTGTAGCAAGTCTGCCAACAAGCCGTCAACAAGTTCTGTTCGCACTGCTTGTCACAAGTTGTCAACAAGTTTGGAACAAGCTGATAACAACTTGTAATAAGCTTGTTGATATTATCAGACTTGTTGCAAGGTTGCTCCAACAAGTCCAATACAGTCCTGATACAACAATATTGTTACAACTTTGCGTCGTCAACCTATTAGATTTGTTAGAACAACCTTGTAACAAGTCTGATAATGCCATCAAGCTTGTTACAAGTTGTTAACAACTTGTTCCAAACATGTTCCAACAACTGGGAACAAGCAGTGCGAACACAATTTGTCGACAGCTTGTGGACAGATTTGTAACAACTTGCTTGCAGACCTGTAACAACTTGTGCGTTTTTACGTATGTACAGATAGGCCTACGTTTCAAGCATTGATAAAATATTTTTCTTCCTGGCAGCAGGCTTCCCAGACCAAAAATTTCCTGTCAATTTTTTTTATAAATTTAAATTTTGATTGTAATTCAATAACAGCATCGTATATACCACCTTAATAAGTCATATACTACCTCAATATTAAGAAAAATATAGCGGTAGCACTGCCACATGATACAAATTTTTATGTTATGATTGTTGTATTTATGCTCTAATTGTGATGTTTGTTACTTTAATGCTGATTTTTGAAATTTCTCGAGCTTCATTCTTGATATCTTGCTTTTCCTTAAAAATTTCCTGTGAGATTAAAAAAATTTCCTGGCAGCATGCTGCCATGCTGGCGGACGTTCTCATGCCTTGCTACGTTCTCCAAATGATATCTGGCTATGAAACGTTTAACTCTTATTTTCCAGGGAAAACGATGTTTCATCGCCGATGGCCATTCCGTCCGCCCCGTACATTGATCGTCCTCGCCTTGAAAGAAATCAGTATTCCCTGCGACGTCATTTGAGTGTTGAAAATGATACAGAGGACGCTAGACACGGGGATAATGTGAGTTAGAAAATATCCTCAACTATCCAAGATGGCGAACAGCTCAATTTTTTCAGTCGAAATATTTTGAAAACTAAGCAAGATATAAACAATCTCAGGGTGTTAGCCAGAAAAAAGTTTTGTCCGTTAAACGTAAATTGGAAAAGTTTTTTTGACCGATCAAAGTCCTTGTGTTGGAATAAATAGTGGGTTTTTTTCCAACGTGTTTCTCCTTAGATGCAAACAACGGTAGCTTGGTTTTGTACATTTCATTTCCGGTGAATGAACACTGAAAAATGCACCCGATGGCACTTCGTTTTGTATATTTCATTTCCGGTGAATGAACACGGATGCACACCGATTACACTTTGTTTTGTACATTTCATTTCATTGAATACACACCCAATATGAATGAAACGCGATACATTTTGAGAAAATAGTTAATGGGAAAAAGTAAATAAAACGTTCTTTGATATAATAATATAGAATCAAACGCAATGCACTTTCTCATCAGAAAAAAATATAATCCTCCAGTAGACCCAGTTGGGAAAGCCCCTTAGCTACTTCAATGGACCATTCCCCAATTAACCAAAATTTTGATCTCAACAAGTCTATAAGACAACATTCCATCATGGCATGAAAGAGCATCACAAAGTTAGTAATATTCCAAAGTTTCGTTTCGAAATGTTGTAAAATGCGGATAATATAGCCTTGCGAAATTTGCAATTTTAAGTCATTTTAGATTACAAACGGGAAATGGTTACCACTTTTCCGAAATTTTGATCTTAACTAGCCTAAACAAAAATTTCATCACAGCTTGAAAGAGCATCACAAAATTAGTAATATTCCAAAGTTTCGTTGCAAAATGTTGTAAAATGCGGATAATATAGCCTTGCGAAGTTTGTAATTTTCAGTCATTTTGTATTACGCACAAAAGTGGTAACCATTTCCCGTTTGTAATCTAAAATGACTGAAAATTGCAAACTTCGCAAGGCTATATTATCCGCATTTTACAACATTTTGCAACGAAACTTTGGAATATTACTAATTTTTTGATGCTCTTTCAAGCTGTGATGAAATTTTTGTCTAGACTTGTTGAGTTCAAAATTTTGGTTAATTGGGGGAATGGTCCATTGGGAAGAGTCCGTCAAACGGACAGTATATTGGCCTAGCTAACACCCTGAATCTGTAATAGAGTTTAATATATAGTTTTAAGAGTTCTTTAAAATGAACTGAACTAATTTTTTATTGCCAATGTCCTTTAAATATGGTGAATTTTTACGCGGTGAAACTGAAATTAAAGTAAATATTTTTCTCCAGGTACCCGAGATTGAACCTCTTCCGCCTGGCTGGGCGATGCAGTATACTGGAAATGGAAGAGCATTTTTTATTGATCATAATTCTCAAACAACAACTTGGGTAAGAACATGCTAACATAGGGCCTGTTTATATGGAAGCCGGGCTGGCCCGCTAAGCGAGACAGACCGGTAAGCGAGTTCTCTCTGTGTAGTTATTTTTATAGTAAAAATTTTTGTGCGTTTCTATGGATAAGCGGGCTGGCCCGATTGCCGAAATCTCGCTTGAAAGAGGCGAGATCTCGCTTACCGGGATGGAAATTTCTCCATATAAACACTCGCAAGCGGGCTAAAAATATACGGCCGCAAACTATTTTTAACCACTGTCAAAACAATAAAATTGTCCCGGCAAGCGGGATGAAATTTCATCATATAAACACATGAGAAATTCATCTCGCTAAGCGGTCCAGCCTGGCTTCCATATAAACAAGCCGTTAGTCATTATAGAACGAAAATATTTTTATCTACCGGATGTCCCAAAAAAAACCTGGACACTATTTGATTTCATGTAACGTAAGAGCTATCGCAATGAAATAAAGATCATTGCATTCAGAAAGGACTAACTTAGATTTTGATATATAACACTTGAGTTTACAATAACAATGTGTTCAATAGCAATTTGTTCATCATTAATATTTAGACAGATCCACGACATTCAACAGAACTCCCTACAGGTCGTTCGCCTGAGATGCCACCAGCTCCTGTTGTGGAAATACAAGACCTTGGACCTTTACCTGTGAGTATCAGAGAGAATATTCCTTTGAACTAAACTAACTTTGTTTTTATTGGATAGCTCTGTCAGTTTTAAACTGTTCTCCTTAATTGGAGGTTCAGTAAGGATCATCTCTTATTGATCCAGTGTTACTGCAGGAGGAAACCTAAACTAAACTAACTTTATTTATACTGGACAGCTTTATCAGTTCTAAACTGTTCTCCCTAGAGGTCCTGTAAGGATCATCTCTTATTGACCAGTGTTACTACAGGAGGAAACCTAAACTAAACTAACTTTATTTATACTGGATACATAGCTCTATCAGTTCTAAACTCTTCTCCTTAGAGGTCCAGTAAGGACCATGCATCTCTTGTTGATCCAGTGTTACTACAGAAGAAAACCTAAACTAAACTAACTTTATTTATACTGGATAGTTCTATCAGTTCTAAACTGTTCTTCGTAGAGATTCAGTAAGGATCATCTCTTATTGATCCAGTGTTATTACAGAAGGAAACCTAAACTAAACTAACTTTATTTATACTGGATAGCTCTATCAGTTCTAAACTGTTCTTCCTAGAGGTCCAGTAAGGATTATCTCGTATTGCTCCAGTGTTACTACAGAGGAAACCTAAACTAAACTAACTTTATTTATACTGGATAGCTCTATCAGTTCTAAACTGTTCTTCCTAGAGGCCCAGAAAGGATCATCTCTTATTGCTCCAGTGTTACTACAGGAGGAAACCTGAACTAATCCAATTTTATTTATACTGGATAGCTCTATCTTATGAATTAATGCAGTGTTGCTACAGGAGGAAGCAAAGTACCTAGAGAAAACCTAAAGTCAAACTTAGAGAACTCTTCTCACAAGCGACTGAGATGAAATTTCAATAAGCCAGCTGCATACTACGCGACTCAAACCACCGTTGCATTGCTGGAGACGCATGCGCTTACCATTGTTAATTTTTGTAGGATGGCTGGGAGGAACGTGTCGATACTGATGGCAAGAAATTCTACATTGACCACAGTAAGTGCTTTTGAAGGCCATTTTTCATTGATTGTTGAAGGGTTCAAGAATTAGTCGTGTTGATTGAGAAGCCCCAAATCCTGATATTAACGCATACACCTTATGTTGGTAGTACCCTAATGGACCAATCCCCAATTAACCAAAATTTTGAACTCAACAAGTCTAGACAAAAATTTCATCACAGCTTGAAAGAGCATCACAAAATTAGCAATATTCCAAAGTTTCGTTGCAAAATGTTGTAAAATGCGGATAATATAGCCTTGCGAAGTTTGCAATTTTCAGTCATTTTAGATTACAAACGGGAAATGGTTACCATTTCTGTGCGTAATACAAAATGACTGAAAATTACAAACTTCGCAAGGCTATATTATGCTACGAAACTTCGGAATATTACTAATTTTGTGATGCTCTTTCAAGCTGTGATGAAATTTTTGTTTAGGCTAGTTAAGATCAAAATTTTGGAAAAGTGGTAAACATTTCTCGTTTGTAATCTAAAATGACTGAAAATTGCAAATTTTGCAAGGCTATATTATTCGCATTTTACAACATTTCGCAACGAAACTTTGGAATATTACTAATTTTGTGATGCTCTTTCATGCTATGATGGAATTTTGTAGAGCTGCTCCCATCGGTTAATTTTCGTAATCAATTAATCGTTGTCAACAATCGATTAATATCGATTAACCGCATTGATAATTAATTTAAATATGACAAGCCCATGGTGGTTTGACTGGTTCGTAAATTGTAATTAAACTTTACTAAATTTGCGAGACTCAGACTCTTATGGATAACTGGTTTATGTCCGCACGTCGCAATGTTGGACGCAAATGGTAATAAATTCTTCTAGTAAAAAACTTTAAAGATATTTTCGCAGCAGTCGTAATTAACTCATTTGCGCATCACGCTGCGTGGTGTTATAGATGATTCGATTACTGTTAAGCATAATCGATTGTGGAAAAATAATCGATTGATCGATTAATCGGGAGCAGCTCTAGAATTTTGTCTAGACTTGTTGAGATCAAAATTTTGGTTAATTGGGGAATGGTCCATTTATACATGAACTTGTGGTTAGAGCTCGACAACTGGCCTCTGTAGCTCATTTGGTTCATAGCCTATCGAAGGGAAGATGGCTGGGAAACTCATTAGAATAACAATGTAACTCATTATCTATGTTGGTCAACGTTTATTCATAAATCTGGTCCTTCGCCGTCACGTGTGTATTGTATTTTGCCCAACTAACCAATAGCAATGTTTTAAGAAAGTTACCTATCCGTGACTAGCCAGGATTAGCAATCTACCTGCCCAAAAATTTTGAAGTCAGATCTTCAATCTTCATCTTCTAAAAATATGATTCTTAGCAGTCCAAAGAACACTTTGAAAACTGCGCTCAAAACTCAAGAACAAACAGTATGTTTGACCACACCAACAAAATCGCTGACGTTTTTGTTAAAATCACTAAGTATTTCTCGCTAATACATGTAGGGATTTGTAACTTGTTTGCTTGTGGATGTATTTGCGATGATGTGCAGTAACTAGAAAAAGTCACCAGCTAAGCATAAGTATTTATAGTCGATATTATTAGGAAATAACATTGCTAGTAAACCGGGTTTGTTTTAGCGACAAAGCATGTCAAAGTGAAGGCATGCCTCTTGGGAAATGTTGCCAATAGACAACTTGCATGTAAGACTAAATTTTTATCTGAGTAAAGAGAAAGGAATAAAACACCACAGGTGAAAAGAACATAATGAAATTAGTAAAATTTCAAAATTTAATTGGCTGCGAAATATTGTAAAGCTTGGAAAATATAGTCTTGCAAAATTTCCAGATTTTATATATGTTTGTATTACGTGCGGAAATTGTTACCTATATTTTCCGTATTTTACAACATTTCGTAACCAAATTCTGCAATTTTACTAATTTTAATAAGTTCTTTTCGGGAATTTACTTTTTTGCCTAGATCAAAAATTAGTCTGACATGCAAGTTGTCTATTTTGATTTTCAACTGCCTGTACGTGGAAATCAAGCAGTCAAAAATACATAAAAAAACAATAATGAATCTAGCTTCTTTGGTTACAGAGCTTTATTTGAAGGGGTAAATGGTCTAATGTGCTTTTACCGATCGCTTTATTTACTTCAAAACATGCGAAAGAGAAGTTTTCGAAGCCAGCTTTTTTGTCAAATGTGCTTCACTCTTGTGTCAACTCGATAGCATTTTTCGCGAATTATCGAATTTTCCCCCTCTTCTGAAAATATAACTTTTAAACCAGCTTCGTGTAAAATTCACATTTTTCGCCCGCCATTTGTCGAAAAATGAAAGAATAACCGCTTTTCCCAGCATTCCCGCGATAACTGAAATTGTTTATTTGTATATCTAGATACACATTCGACCCAATGGGAAGATCCCAGAGATGAGAGCGAAACACAACCTACAAAGGTATACTATGTCGACATTATGCGCAATTCATACTGTTAACATCCCCCCGGCCAATCAAATTTATACTGTTAACATCCCCCGGGCATTTGACCTTTTGAACTGCTGTTAGGGTAGGGCATTTGACACTGAGTCACAAGACATGGGGCATTTGACCATTTAATACACCAGATTGCGCGAGGTCTAAGACTATTAAAAAGCTTCAAAATGGAGTATACTTTAAATACTTTTAGGAAACTTTATAAAGCATGAGGTGTATTTTTTTAATACAATGTTTTCACACAATTCCAAACTTGAACTGATAGAATTACAGTCAGAATGATCCGGGGGTTGGGGCATTTGACCATCAATTTTCCGTTATATGTTTAAAAAGTTCAAATCCCAGTATAAAAAGTTCAAATGCCCGTTATATGTTTAAAAAGTTCAAATGGATGTTAACAGTATAAACTGATTGACGCATTATCCCACGACATGCATGCAAATGAAAGTCTTTCTAATTTGCGAATATATTTGTTTAGGCTGTACCGTACTCGCGAAGTTATAAAAAGAAATACGACCTATTCCGATCGCAACTTAAGAGACCGGTAAGTTGAAATGGAATTCAAATTAACCGAACCAGGTGCGATAAATCAAGAATTTTAATTGTAGCTCACGGTCTTGTCTAAAAGTACATACGAATGACCACGAGTGACCACGACTGATTTCTTAAAAATCATAACATAATAATAAAAATTATTTTAAGGTGGTTCCCTAGGATATTTGCATTATACTACACTTTTGTATCCAGAAAACGCCTGTTTCTTCACTTTACATGACATGAAGACGAAATTTGTTGGACACATTGACAATGCTCTCCTTAACATTGCAATGTGCTACTTTTGTGCTGAAAGTCCGTTACCATGGCAACAGTGTGCTTAGGATAAAGCTCAAAGTTTGTCTTTTTCCGGCCATTTTAAAATTTTTTTTAAAACTTTGCATAAAAGATAATTCTCGTATAACGATTTTTTTTTCTTCAATTTTAAAAAAACGTTTCTTAGAAAATTTCAAAAACGTCAATCACAAATCAATATTAAAAATTTCCCTTCAATAAAATTTTAAGAAAAAAAGGATATTGTGCTTGTTAAGCCGATATTAAGAAATGTGCAAAGTTTTAAAAAATTTTACCGAAGGAAAAGGGAGAAATTTAGGTTTAATTTTGGCATTTTTTTGCGAGATGTGACGTGTAAAATTATCACATCTGACATGTAGAATAGTCGAAAAAATTTTAAAATGGCCTAAGCACGCTGTTGCCATTGTAACGGACTTTCAGCACAAAAGTAGCACATTGCAATGTTCAGGAGAGCATTGTCAATGTGTCCAATAAATTTCGTCTTCATGTCATGTAAAGTGAAGAAACAGGAATTTTCTGGATACAAAAATGTAGCATAATGGAGCCACCTTAAAATAGTTTTTTTGTTATTTTATGATGTTTAAACACAGAAATCACCCGTGGTCATTCGTTGTCACTCGTGTGTACGTTTAGACAAGATCCATGCACAGAGCTACATCACTCCCTCTGCAATCTAGAAATCTAGAGGTCCGTCTGTTTCCCCTAGATAAAACGTATGTTAGCGAGAGCCTCTAGACCGTTTAGAGGCTAGAGCACTTCCTTGCTCAAATTATATACCACAAAATGTGCCTCATTACATCTTGTGTGTATCGGTTGTCTTGCTAAGTCGTCAGTTGTCCAAACTACTTCAGGCAAACCTAACATATTAATTAGACAACTTGCATGTTAGACTAATTTTTGACCCAGGCAAAAAAAAGTAAATTCCCGTAAAGAACTTATTAAATTTAGTAAAATTGCAAAATTTGGAATATATAGCCTTCCGAAGTTTGCATATTTTGTATGTGTTTGTATTACGTGCGGAAATTGTTACCATTTTTGAGCCGAAAATGGTAACAATTTCCGCACGTAATACAAACATATACAAAATATGCAAACTTTGCAAGACTATATATTTTCCAAGCTTTACAACATTGCGCAACCAAATTTTCAATTTTACTAATTTCGTTATGTTCTTTTTAGCTGTAGTGTTTTATTCCCTTCTCTTTACTTTAGATTAAAATTTAGTCTTACATGCAAGTTGTCCAAACGTCAGCGGCGTTTATTAGAGTCTACAGTTTACCAGTATTTGATACGTGGCGTTTATAGTGAGTGGGCGTTTATATTTCCTGGTATTCAAATCATTTTCTTGGAAGTAATTTCCATATTTTGAAATAAGACATTCTTTTCAACATAATGTAATAGATGTAACCAATTGCAAGGCAGTATTTATATGAGGTCATACCTTTCACCACAAGACATTGCTTGAATATTGTATTTCGTGCAACCAAATTGCCAAATTCCTGTCTGGAAAAGACGCTTTAAATCATTTATACGGAAGCGATATTTGTCTGTTGCTCTGAACAGATCACTTTGGTAAATATTTCAATGTCTATATAGTGACGTTTAAACTATAAAGCGAATAAAATCAACACAGAACTTGCTTTATTATTACGAAACAAGAATCTCGACTAGAACGGCGTGCCGTGATATGGCGTCTAATTATTTACAAGGTTATGACGAGGCGAGGTTTGCGATCACAGTCAATCAAAATTTCCTGTGTTTGATTTGCTTCAACGTTTTGAAAGAACCAGTCATGTGTTCTAGAAACCAGCACTGTTTCTGCCGTGCTTGTATTACGAAGCATCTCCAGAATTCCCAAAGATGCCCTACGTGTGCGGACGAACTGACCGTAGAGACTTTGGCCGAACCGCAAAGAATGGTAAAGGATTATCTAAATGAATTACCTATTCATTGCGTTCACATCAACAGAGGTTGTCAAGAGATTGTACAACTACAGCATCTTGACCGCCACGAGGCTACATGTGGATTTACACCAGCCGTTTGTACAAACCAAGGCTGTGGTGCGACTGTAAACAAGCGCGATCTTATTCACCATGAAAGTGAACAATGCGAATTCCGAAAGTTGAAATGTCACTCTTGTGGAGAAACAATGAAAACGTTGGCGAATATGGAGAAGAGAATTGCACATTTGGAGACGAATATGGTTGCCATGGAAACCACAATGGGAAAGAATATGGCGACAAACATCGCAGAAATGAAAACAGATATGGAAGAAAAACTCGGCGCAGTCAATAATGATGTCAGAGGATTAAAAACAGCTTTGATTGAAGGGTTTGATCAAATGAAGGATGTTCTTGTCAAGATGGAGGACAGGATCAAGGAAAATACAAGGAAAGTAAGAAATACAGCAAGTGGTGACAAGGAAAATATAATTGTTGCTGGAGGCGATGAAACTGGCTCTGTGGAGATCTTTAACTGGTCACTAAAATTGTGGTCTCCATTACAATCCATGCCAAAGAAGCGTTGGGGAGCGACCTCATTTCTTTACAACAATCACATGATGATCGCTGGAGGGGGCTGTACTGGGTCTGGCTATGTCGAGAATATGATTAGAATGAACATTGACCTCAATCCTGATCTGTCAACACACTGGAATGACTGTGCTGTTAAACTACCTGCCAAGTTGGCTTACCACAGCAGTGTGCTATATAATAATCAACTGATGGTCACTGGTGGTTGTATTGAAAGTTTCAACAAAACATCCGATGGTATTCATGAGGTCCAGCTTGTTCCCCCCTATGCTGTGAAGATGTTATTAAGAATGCCAGAACAAAGACAAGGTCACAGCACGGAGATAATTGATGATAATTTGTTGATCTTTGGCGGAGGTACAACTCAGAAATCCAAAGACAACCTCAGTAGTGCTGTACTGTACAATTTAAAGACGAATGAATGCAAACAGATGGTACCACTGCCGTATGAAGTGTGTGATATGGCGTCTGTGAGATGGGGAGACAACATTGTTGTGATAGGCGGCGTGGGCAAAGATGGCAATGAGTTAGATACAGTTATCATGTACAATGTAAAGACTGAACAAAGTCACATGTTGCCGCCAATGAGATGTAAGAGACGGGGATGTGCTGCAGTTGTTATTGGAAACAACATTGTGGTACTGGGAGGAATGGATGAGCAGGGACATGACCAGAAGTCAGTTGAAGCTTTCAACTTTGAAAGTTATCATTGGGAAGAACTTCCTGAAATGTCCCAAGAAAGATCATTCCACACTGTTGTTGTTGTGTGAACAATGTATAAATTGAAACTCAATTCATGAAATAAATAAATTTTGTCATTTTAAACGTTTATTAATTAATACGTTTGTGGGCATAAAAATGATTGGAAATTAGTATTGATGTTGTTTTAGAAATGTATAGATGTTGAAGTAATCCGTTCTCAGGGAAACCAAATTAACTGTAAGAATATTATGAGCAGTTTAACTAGTGTACATTTAATTGTAATGACCAATGTGAAAATGAAAAAATAAAATGATTTAAATAGAATCATTCACATGTATGTTTTCATGTTACAGTGGCCTACGACATCTCAGTATCCCTCAGATTTAAACAGTCGAAGAATTTTTGTCATTCGAACACTTGGCAATGCTTTAGACAAGGTAAGCGATGAATCAAAAATTATACATTCATAAGAGAACCACTTGTTTAAGGCGTTTCCTATCATCCTATTACCTATACTTATAAAGTGATGGTGTTTATGTAATATTTCAAATCTGACTTTGAGGACTGGACTAGACTTCAAGTCAGCGCAATTTGATCACGCCCGAGGCGAAGCAGAGGACTGGATCAAAATGCGAGGACTTGAAATCAGTCCAGTCCGAATTGGAGGATTTGAAATGACATCTCATACGAATAAATCACTACTTAATTAATTTTGATCCCACCCACGGACTAAATTTTGATCCAGTCCTAGGACAGGATCAATATATCCGGTATCATGTGAGCAAAATAAAGCAATATGGTTGGCTAATTTATTCATGAATTATTAATGAGTTTGAGATAGTATATTGATTTGAAATGATAGGAAAAAACTTCACAGTCCAGCATCGATAAACATGCATGCTTGCCCAAATTTCATACCCATTTTTCGCATTTGCAAGCAAGCATAAAAAATCTTGAAAATTTTGCCAGCTCCTCTACGATGATTTGAAGCAGCGTGCTTTTTAAACCATGTTACATCACTTCTGCTATAGTGTAGGCGTGTACTTGAGGGAGAATAGTTAGAACAGAACTTCTGAGGCTATCTACAGTAAATGAATACTAAGAAATCATTGGTTTTTCATCTTTGCTAATGTACACATTTCTGCTGTAGTACCGAAGTGTTACATTGGATCTGTTCAATGGTGCTTTTGCTGTGCAACGGAAAGTGATTATGGAAAAATCAAGACAAGTCCTTGGAACAGCACCCACCACCTCAGAATACAACAAAGTTTTGCAGGTAGAGTTGATGATATTGCTTTCCAAATCTATACTTTGTTTTATGCATGAGGACTATGAGGACTGGACTAGGTTTCAAGTCTGCGCAATTTGATCAAGTCTGAGGCGAAGTACGAATCTTATGGAATGGAATGGAAAAACTTTATTTAAACAGGGTGGCCCTTTCAGCGCGAAGGCTGGTATCCATAGGGGCCCTGTATCTAGATATAAGCTATTTATATGAATTACATTTTAAGGTTTACCATTTTATAGGAATAAATCACTACTTGAGTTTGACTGATACCTGATTCAAACACACTCCTCCCAGAAAGCCTTATTGTCGATTGCATTTTACTTTTCAAAGCGCGGTTCCCAAGTTTGTTGTCAACTTGCCAATTACGTTTCCAAATTCGGAAGTTGGGCGGTAACTTCGCAACGAAGTTCGCAAGTTCATTTCAAAGTTCGAACTTCGATTGCAAACAAATGTAAAAATTTCATTTATAAAGTTATTTAAAAAGGCATTTTCGTCTTGGGAGACCACTACTAATATTTTAGTGCAGTAATATGTGCATATACGGCCTTATTATAGTAATTTCAACTCCAACTATGAACCTTTGTTTACACTTCAAAGTTCGAACTTTGAAATGAACTTGCGAACTTGTTTCGAAGTCAGGGGCGTAGGAAGCTTCTAAAATTTGGGTGGTGGTGGGGGGGGGGGCAGGCTTTGAAGGGCACTTTTTGAAAGAAAAGGGCATCCAAAAATTTTTTCGGGGGGGGGAAGGTCATCTCAAAAAAAATTTCGGTTTCCGGATATACGACATTTTTTGCTAAATACGAAAAAATTTTTCCGGACATACAAAAAAATTTTCCGGATATATAATATTTTTCTTGGAAATGAAACAATTTTTCCGGAAATAACATAGGAGATTCAAGTTTTCAAAATTGCCCTTTGGGCAAAAAATGCAATCTTAATTTCATTTTGATCATTTGATGGTGTACTTGGTCGAATGAAAATGTCGTAGTTAAGTAAAGAAACGTAGCGGCACAAAGCCAGGGGTGTTTGAAAAATCTCGAATGAGCTTTAGTAGGCTGAACCGATACTGACATGAAGTAATGTAAACATCAAAAACTGTTTAAGAGTCTCTCACTACAAAGGTTTTCCAGAGGAACGTTTTCTCGACCCCCTACTGTAGATGTGTCTTTGTACCAAAATTGACATACATACTCTTTCAGGATCCTGGCTAACGCCTGTATTTTAAAAGCTCACTCACACTCAATGAGTGGGGGTTCAATCTGAGCTTCCCTTGATTGTCAATGCTGTTTTTGAATAGCTGGAGGGTGAGTAGTCACATAGTAAGCTACGGCACTAACCCTCCAGGCTCCAGCTATTCAAAAAACAGCATTGACACTCAGAATGAACCTCCACTCTTTGAGTGTGAGTGACCTTTTGGAATACAGGCGCAAGAGCCTGCTCATGAGGCAGATAAAGCATACATGCAGGTCCATTAACGAGGTGTCTTTAAATTGATGTCTGGGCCTGGTGTCATCTTGGTGATTTCATATAGGAAACCCTATAGTTTCTATGAAGCCTCGGGAATGCAGGGTACTTGTAAAAACATACGAGAATGCCTCAAAAACATCCTTGCCAAATTCTAGGAACTAGGTCTCGAACGAAAAGGTACATGTTGGTACATTCGTGGAACACAGTCGGGCACCCTACGAACATGATCGATAATATTGGGCTGGTCAATTAAAGGCGTCTGCCCGATTACAAGACAATACACAAGATTACACAGGCAATACGTTATCAGACAACCTGCCAAATCATACATTCATACCTCGAGCACGGGAGCAAAGATATTGCAGTTGGAAGGAAGAAATGGAGAATGCATTACGGAATGAAAGGTATCTTTAAACCAGTCGTCGAAAATGGTATGTAGAAAACAAATACGTCTTGCGAGCTCCGTTGAGTGGAAAGATCGCAGTGTTAGCATTGACCAATAAAATCGTTCTTGACCATAATTTCTGATAACAACCCAAATGTTTTAATGGAAGAAGGAAAACGCAAAGAATTGAAACATTCAAAGTTTATTGGTGGTAAACAGTGAATGAATTTGAACACACGCAACATAAAAATATCAACTTCCGTCGACAAAAACTGTCCAAACGTAATAATTATATGCACTAAATTTGAATGTAACCTGTCATTTTGCTTATGATTTTTATATTCGCAATGCAAATTTTGTTATAAATAAATCCACGCTTGAAATTTATTTTAAAAACCACCATAGTCTATACAATAAGCTGCCGTTGTGTGTGTCTGAAGTACCTAAGACCTTTTGTTAAAAAACACTTCACTTTTAAAGCGAAGTACATTTCTGTGGAAGGGCTTTCAGTCCAAATGTCAAAGTGTTGATCGAAGTATATTTTCACACACAATCGTTTGGAATATTTATTTAAATACGCATATAATTAATTTTGTTGATTACATTCAATGAAACAAATTAGCTGGACTACATTTATACAGATCAAACAATGCATTATATATATTATCATAATAACAATTTCGAAATCTAACGAGAAATAATATTGACTATTTGAACACTATACATTGTGTCTATTGGGTTATAACATTTTAATCAAAAGAAATGAGCTGAGCTTCTGCCACATTTTGTTCATAATATTGTTGTTGCCCATACGGCTGTTGTGCTTGTTCATAACCTCCATAAGAGGGCGGTGGGGGTTGTTGGTAGTTACCGCTAGGGGGCTGCCCCCATTGCTGCTGTCCCGGAGTTTGTTGGTAGTTGGGGTCTATAGGTTGATTTTGGTACTGTAAGGAAGATGATGGCCCCGAGTGTTGAGGGGGTGGTTGTGAGGGTGGCCCTTGACCGTATTGAGGTGGTTGGACGTTTTGCGGGGGTGGGCCCTGGGCTGGCATGTTTTGTTGTGGGGGTGGGCCTTGACCTTGTGTTGGTGGTGCAGGGTGTGCTTGAGAAGCATGTTGGGGTAAGGGGTATTGTTGGGGTGGGAATTGCGATGGTTGACCCTGTTGGGGAGGTGGGACTTGTTGTGGAGGAAACTGTTGTGACATGGGGGCTTGGCCTGGAGGGAACTGCTGTGAGGGTTGACTGTGTTGAGGTGGCTGAACTTGCTGAGGGGGTGGGCCGGTTGATGGTTGAAATTGAGGTGGTCCCTGCTGGGGTGGTACGCCTCCGGTCAAGGTGTCTTGTAATGAGTTTGGTCCTGATGAGTACTGTTCCATGGAGGGTGGTCCTGATGATGGTGGTGTATGGGTGTACATACTTTGTGAAGGTGGGGGTTGACCTTGGTATGACATAGGTCCACTTGATGGGTAATTTGGTTCCATGGGGTAGCCTTGTCTTGGCCCGTCACTCACTACTTGTTGATACTGGTTGGGTTGGTTTGCCTGAGTAGGTTGCCCAAATTGTTGGCTTTGTTGCGGGTGTCCTGCAGGTTGCAGATACTGTGTAGTTTGTCCCTGAGTAGCAATATTCTGCGGTCGAGGTTGACTTGCTGCGGGTTGGTATGCTGGACCAGGTGGTGGGGGATGTCCACTTGCAAGTTGCGCCTGGTTAGGGGCAGGGGTTCTACCCCCTTGTAAGGACATGTTCTGAAATTGTGACGTGGGGGCTTCGTACTGGTTTCCTGGTTGATAAGGGGGCTGACCTTGTCTTTGGACACCTGGAGGGTATGGTTGGGCACCAGGTGTCACAGATTGATAGTTAGGTGGTGCAGGTTGGCCTCCAGGGGTATATGTGGATTGAGGTGGCATGCCTGCCACTTGGCTACCAGGTTGATACACACCATATGACGTCACGGCATAGTTCATGGCTTGTTCTGTAAAATAGATTAGAAATTGTATTTATACACGCTGACCCCGTCAACTGAAGCTGATTTCAACAAGGGGCGTGTGCCAAAAAATAAAAAAGCTACAAGAAAGTGATATTTAGAGCTACAGGTATTTGCAAAATATATAAGTTTTAAAGGGGCAGTGTCACGGTGCTGATTGGCTAAAATAAATGGCGCAAAGAAACGTTTAAAATTAATGCTACATGATTGGAAAAGATGCAGCAGCCTTCAATTTTTAAAACAAAGTAAGGATGTCCTGCATAACAAAGGGATTATAAATAGTATATCGTATTTCACTCCTAAGTCCTAACTTGATTAATTGTTGGCAGACAGCTTTTCAAGTTCGCGCATATTTTGGATGCGCAGTAGAACCGTCACACTGCCCCTTTAATGAGAAAGTTGGTAGACTATTTACATTATTTACAAAATTAGAACCGTAAGTAAGCAACGTTTTTGTCAAGACGGACGTCACCTGAAAATTAGTATCACTAATATTGGAGGCATTTTGCATCATGTTAGTAAGCAAAAAACTTATGTTTTGTCATATATATTGAAGATTACCACAATCTGACACAAACATAGTTTTTAATCCAGTCCCTGCTCGGCAATCTGACGTCCGTATTGACAAAAACGTCACTTGCTTATTAAGCTCCCATTACTATAACATACTAGATCCGATGTCTCAGTCTGCCTGCTTGGTGACTGATGATATTCCCCCTACCTTTGGCCATCTGCTGTTCTAAAGCTTGTTGTCTCTGTGTTTGTAACTGTTGTTGATACAACATATATTCTTGTTTCTGTTGTCGTAGTAATTCCATTTTCTGCTCCATCTGCATACGACGTAACATGTCCTGTTCCAGTTCTTGTTGTCGGAGTTTCTCGCGCCTTTGAGTTCGCGCGTCGTCCAGTGAACGTCTTGTGTCTTGCAGAACTCCGAGCTTCTCTTCCATCATCTCGTACTTGTCTAAAGGAAAAGATAGGTTAGGGCCTGGTTACATGGAAGTAGGGGTGGGGGGGGACCCTACCATGAACAGACGTTTGGCCGTCTCGAGTCCGGCGAATGAATCATTAGCCGTACCGAAATCGCACTCACAATTCAGATTTAGTACAACTCATTTCGATTTTCGATACAAACATGTGGAGCGCAACTTCTAAAATGGCCTAATTTACGTATGGAGCGCATTTCACAATTCCTAATGCAACTGGCAATCGAGAAAATGCAGCGGTAAAGAGCCGTATCTAACTACATGGGTGAATAAACAAAAATTATGCAGGAATAGATGAGCAAACGAGGTATGTTTTCTTTTAATACTAATTGCTAATAAAAGGCCCATTTCCACTCAAGAAAAATTTCCACGGACAGAAAATTTTCCGAAAATATCATTGTTAAAAGTTGAAAATTTTCAACTTCAAAATTATTTTCAACTTCAAAATTTTTTTTCCAACGGAAAATTTGTGTCGGTCAATCAAATTTTACAAAATTTTCTTTCGGCGGAAAATTTTCCTGATTGCAAATGTGGGTGTTAAGATCATCATCTTTATTATTGAAAGGAAAGATGATGATTTCCATGAAGCACAATCACCTTTCTCCAGTTCTTGTTGTTCGATAAAGTGCATTAACTGAGGCTGCATCGAATTTACTGTTTGGAAGAGGGACTAAAAGAAAATAATATGTTTCATTTAAAAACCACGGCTTTCGATGAGATGCCAGGAACTGCATTAAACAGTTGTCAAGTTATATTTATTAATCATCTTTTCAATAAAGAGACTTGTGGCCAACATCGTCAGTGGAGCTATTTGGTGACAGAATTGTCGCAAGAATGTTTCGAATATATACGCAAACAATATGCATCAAAGTGAACATGCAGCTTGCAAAGTTTACAAGGGAACAATTTAAAGATTAATCTTTCATTTATTGTCATTATTATTCATACCTGTGTAATAGAATCACTAGATATATGTCTGCCTTTGCCTGCTACATATTTCATTCTCTCCATCAATTTCTCCACGTTACTGCGGAATGTGTTCATGAAGGCCTCGCATTCAGCATCTTGTGGTGTCTGCAGAAAAATATCATGCAAACAGTCAAAAATGCAATTAAATAAAGTTATTTTTTCGCATTCTTCATCAAGACGTTGTACATTAACAAAGTAATTCCTTGCTTAGGCGCTTGGTCGATATACATGCAAACCTACCCCTATATATTAATTTAACTCATTGAGTGGCAGTACTCTCCTCCTGACGAGTAAAATCGTCTGGCGTTAGACAGGGTAAAATAATAAAGTAGTACGCATCTGGGCGAATCACATGATAGCATCACAGAAAACAACTACAGGTAGAATTATGTCGGGTTTTTTCATTTTACTTTGTTGAACTAGAATGCTGGGTTTTGTAGATAATCCAAGTGAGCATACAGTACATCTTGCGGCCCTGCGATTCCAGTGTAGAGCATCGGTAATCGCTAGATAGTATACTTCAAAATAAGGTTTCCGTTTTTATAACGTAGAAAAAACTATCCTAACACAAAACTAAACCCTAATACTAACCCCAACCTAACCCTAACCTAACCCTAACTTATTTTAAAAATTGATATAAAAACGGAAACCTTATTTTGAAGTATACTATCTGGCAATTGCCGTAGAGCATCATTAGACCTTATGCATAAAATGATGTCATCGCCCGGGAAAATTAAACAATTCAAAATGGCCAATACCGGGCGATGACTACTAAGACCAGCATTCCTCGCGGGCATCAAGCCTTGTGACGTCATTATGCATATAAAGGTCTATTCAAGAAAAAAAACTTTCCCAAAATACTTGTCCAGGATCAAAACTTTAATTCTAATGCAAGAATCGTAAACATACTTGTCCTGCAGGTTCTGCAATATATGCTGTTGTGGATACAGGTGGTTCTTCTTCCTCGCGTGTCGGGGCGGTGTAAGCGGGAGGTGCCGCGTTTTCCTTTCGTTTCTCCCAGTACGATCTGTTCAGATAGCGATCCAACTATAGAAGAGCAAGGAATAGAGATATTCGTTGTTTTGAAAACCTTTACACTCTTAAAACAAAGTTGTCCTTGAATTTATAAAGAAGTGTATAAAAATCCTTGAATTCGTCTCGCTTTTTTAGCTTTTGGATATTTTCTGAAATTTGTCGGTTTACAATTCTGTTGAACTGATTTTTTCACTGTTTGAAATATATTCATATGAGTCACGTTTTAGAGGGAGTTACTATTTTTGCACTTACCCACTTAGGGTTAGGATTAGGGAAAGGGTTAGGATTAAGATTAGGATCAGAGTTAAGTTTAGGTTTAGGGTTAAGTTTAAAATATAAAATTACAAAAGTCTAAAAATCGTAACTCCCTCTAAAACGTAACTCTCTGTCAGGAATATAGTGGAACGGTTTAACATCACTTTTTACTGATTCCTAACGGCTTATTTTCAGCTCTTTAATCCATGAAGTCCTCAGTGGATTTTCCTGACCCATGAACCCATGAACGGTTGACAGAGCTTCGTATCCTTACCTCAGAATCAGTTGGCTCCTCCTGCACTTCCTCCATTGACTAAATAAAAAATAAAACAAAAATCATCAATCAATTGCTATATAAACACCAAAAGTTGCAAGTTTTAACCCATTGGCACTGGGGAAAAAAGGTGAAATCCGAAAACCGTCTGAAAACCCCCGAAAAACACGATGTTTTTTTAATAAAAATTTCCTTACGGAAAATTTAATGGCAATTTTATAAAATGTTGGAAACACTGGGTAAAAAAATATGGCGGCCATTTCGGTTGCGAATTACGAATATTTCGGTCTTATTTTCGCAATAAATTTCGCTCGATGATCCTCTAATATTCTATGCAGTCACGCGCTGTTTCTGCAAGTTTCAAGTATTTTCCCGATTTTTCGTTTTTTTGTCAAAAGAAAAATCGATTGAATCGGTTTTTAAAAAAAATCGTTTTTTCGGGTTTCCATACTTAAGCCTATGGTATGAAAATTGCAATTAGTATATGAAAATTGGATTTCCATACTATTTTCAACTACGATCCGTCCTATTTCCACAGTATGAACAAGTTTTCGTTGGTAGGAATGCAACTACCTGAAAAATGTATTGAGGAGAATTTCGACATTTCGAACGAAGGCCCTACGTCTGGAGCCCTACCAACGAAAGCTTGTTCATTCTATTGGCACTATCTACACGGGCACAGACAGTTCAAGATTATTTCCATGGTAAGAATTTTGAAAAAAAAATCCAGTGTGCGAATCAGCGCTAGCGTTAGACAGAGTAAGCTCATAAAGTAGGGCGCAATGCAATTCAATGGGTTAACCATGATATAAATATCAGGGTTCGTAGTCTCCAAGACCAAACAAATTCAAAGACTTTCAAAGATTTTTTCTGCCTATTGTCAAAGACTTTTCAAAGACCTTTGAGAGCAATCAGGTGTCGAAAAATTGCGATGTATAAGCACCATTTTTACTCCGTATAATTAGTCCCGTCAAATCACATCCTAAAATGCACTTTTTCGTCGATATTTGCGAAAATCTTGCTTCAATCAATCTATTTTATTAGCTAGGAAATCGTATAATCAATTCCTCACTAAAGAATTTAAAGACTTTTAAAGATTTTCTTCGCTTTTTCACACACTTCAAAGACTTTTCAAAGACCTTAAAGACCTGCATTCAAATTTAAAGACTTTCAAGGATTTCAAAGACCGCCACGAACCCTGAATATGTTAAAATGTACTTACGGCAGTTGTGTAACTGTAACTCGAAGGTCTGCTTGGTGCGGATGGTCTCGTCTCTATAACATCGTAAATTCTGGACGGTTGCGAGGTTGGCTTCTGTTGGAGGAAGACATTCACAATTACAGTAATCAATCCGTTGAACAGGTATGCAACATGGTTGTTCTAATTCAAGCTCCAAGATATTATATAATATGAAATTTAGTTTGAAAAGCGACCTCTTTCCCTGAAAAGTTCTGAACTCGTAGAGGAAAGAGAAAGGGTGTAAAGCCCTGCTTGAATGAGGGTAAGAGTTGACGAGAGTTGCACCTCATCAACTCTGAGATGGTTCAAATTTTGATCAAGAGTTGGCGAGAGTTGTTGTTCCTTTGTCGCACCAACTCTCATCAACACTCATGCAACTCATGAGGAAACTCTCATGCAAACCCTCGCTTCTCAACTCCCATTATTACATCTCACCTGTTTCGTGTCTTGTTCAGATACAGACAACGCCATTGCTAACTGAAGATCTTCCTGTTCTTGACGTTTGATTTCTTCATCAGATTTCTTTTCTGGAATCTAAACCACAGAGGAAAGCTTGCTATAGATTTAATATTTAAAACGTAGATCGATCGAGCAGAATCATTTCAGCTACAGTAGTGTCTGTTGAGTCAAGCCAATGAGCTGTCTACGGCAATTTTGGCAGTTTCCACGGCATTTTTTCAAATTACTGTAATAAAACTTCATTTTTATTGTTACTTTGGATTGCTGACAAGCTAGAAACATGTTTACGTATTTCTTTAGTGGTTTTTTTTCCGAAGAAAACTGAGACTAAAATAGTAGTTTACGCATGATTTGGTTATCGTTCCATGTTTCGCGCACCAATATAGGTTCGGGGTTAGGTAGGCCTATTAGGGGTTAGGTTAGGGTTGGGGTTAGAGTGTGTATATATGTATATGGAGGTATCCAGTTAACTTTTCAGTACACTATAATATCCATTACATAACGTTTACTATATTGGTGCGCAAAACGTGGAACGATTACCCATTCTATTGATCAACATCTGAATTCAAGTATCAAAATAGTAATGCACAGTGAATAGTATAAAAATTATACTATACGGCAAGAAATTGCCGTCGTTGTCGCAATGATCCACGGCATATTGTGCCTCTTCTACAGCAATTGCCGCGATAAAATTCAAGCCCTGCCTCACCTGTGATTCCTTTGCCAGTGCACTGCTCAAGTATTCTGGAGGGAGGTTACCGTCAGCTGGCTTTGACGATGATGATGTTTGACTTGTCGATGAGCTTGAACTTAAGAGAAGTACAAACATATGTCAGGGAAGTTCAAACTTCTTTCCTATAACCTTCCTTTTAGTAGTAAATAAGAGTCAATCAGTTTAACAACGTATTACTGTAATTAGGCCACATAAAAAAAAATAGTTGGTTAGCGTCCCCGCCCGCCCACAAAAAAGGCCCCGCTCAGGACTTTTTTTTATTTTTTATTTAAAAAAAACCCCGACTTTTATTGATCAACAGGCTCTAATATATGTAGTATTTCTGTTGACTGTAGTCAATTGTGTTAATAATTTGCGAAATTGCGTGCGAAAATGACGGTATGAATTATATTTTGAAATATATAAAAAAATATCTGTACTGCACAAGAAAATCCAGTTTCGGACCTTACAGTGAGTAAAACCAACGCGTTAAAAATTAGTAAAAATTAAAAAAAAAGCGCCCGCCCGCCCACTTTTTGACAAAAGCTAAGGACGCTAACCAACTATTTTTTTTTATATGGCCTTACCTTGCTTCGCCGGGGTTGAGTTGGTCGAAGCATGGATCACAAACCCTCACTTCACGTTCAATACCAAACTTTGCAATCACTGAGCTCTTTGATGAACACTTTCCACAAAATACTTCACCACAGCAACGACAATGATGCTGAAAATATACAACACATCTTGCATTGCAATAATTTTCTAATTAATTAATTAAGCATGCAGTAAATTAATCGAGGTTTGATGTCGACGTGGTAATTTATTTTGTGAATTGACGAACCTGTCGAGTGAATGTTCCAAACTTTACGCGACACCTGTGACAAACATCCCCATCGGCCCAGTCTGGAGCCTGAAGTAAATATAAAGAACATTGCAATTGGATATAATTTTAAAATAAGTAACTATGTACAAGACAAGATATTACCACTTCTGGCTTTATAAGGCTGCCAAGACATTTTATTGGGCCTTTAAGGACCCTATGAGGTCACACTAGCAATATTTCAAGTTTGAGGCAGTATACTTTCCTTGCGATAGTAACTCCTACTTTTACAGTAAAAACAGGTGAAACATTCCTATACTTGAGAGAGTCCTCTTCATATGTGCTCCAGCATAAGAGGGGCAAGGGAAAAGTGCCTTCACCTTCCTTTTCTAGATAGCCCTGGCTATCTATTTCTCTGTGGTGTACTCTTCACTAGCTATTGAGTAATGTGGAACTGAGATAATATTTTGTTACCTTCAAGGCACTGAACATTGCATCGCTTTCATTTCTGTCAGGAAAAGTATACCCTAAGTAAAAAAAAAAACATGATCATGAAATAACATGTACAGTACATCAAGGAGCCATTCATTCATTCATTTCTGTTAAGTCGGCAGTACCTTCCATTTTCATTAAATTTCTGGTATCTTCAACAATCTTGTATTTAGGTTCATTACGGAAACCATATGCCCAGGCATTGAGTATTCTTAAGATCTCATTTTTCACAGTATCTGCACATGTCTACAGTAATACATAATTAATTTAACACATTGAGTGGCAGCACTCTCCCCCTGATGAGTGAAATTGTCTGGCGTTAGAGTAAAATAATAAAGTGGGGTGCATTGCCACTTAATTTAGGGTTAATATATAAAAAATGGATTTGATAAGGAATGTAATGAAATTAGCCTTCATTTTATGAAAACATACATTGACGAGCTGTCGAAAGTCATCCATCATTGCTCTGGTAGCGACTTCATTATGAACCACTGAGCCACAGTTCTTCACACAAGCTTCCAACGTCTATGAAAAAACAAGCTGTGTCTAAAAACTGTTGAAAGGGTTTTATTTTGTAGATGGGAAACCTGAGTGTACATTTTTATACACTTTGTTAGACCTATAATCAGGAGCAGTTGTGAAAAATATGCAACTAAGTTTACACTGGCCTGCAATAGACCTTTCTCCTTATGAGTGAAATTTTGAGCTAGATATGCCTGGACAAAAATTTCATCACAGCTTGAAAGAGCATCACAAAATTAGTAATATTCCGAAGTTTCGTTGCGAAATGTTGTAAAATGCGGATAGTATAGCCTTGTGAAGTTCGCCGTTTTTCAGTCATTTTGCATTACAAATGGGAAATTGATAATCAGTTTGATCATCTGATTATCAATTTCCCGTTTGTAATACCAAACGACTGAAAAACGGCAAACTTTGCAGGGCTATATTATCCGCATTTTACAACATTTCGCAATGCAACTTCTGAATATAACTCATTTTGTGATGCTCTTTCAAGCTGTAATGAAACTTTTGTCCAGACTTGTCTAGATCAAAATTTCACTCAAAAGGGGAAAGGTCTATTCTGGTGCAGCACTCCAATGAGCTACAGAGTCCAGTTTAGTGCTGTGCGCCGGAGTTGCCGGAGCCGGAGTTCTGCCGGAGCTCCGGCGGTTTTTCCAACGCCGGAGCCGGAGCCAAATTTTGTATGCTGGAGCCTGGAGCCGGAGTTACGTTTTCCCAGCTCCGGCAAAATGACAAGAAAACAATATGAAACGAGACAAATGTCAAACGATTGTTAGTTACTGCAAACTGCCATTTGCTGTTAATGAATTCATCATAGACTCGAACTGCCACAGCCCACAGGAACAGC